ACTCCTGCTCAACAGACGTCGCCTCCACGCCCAGAAGACACTCCACCGTCAGAGGCTGGGCACTAGCAGGCGCAAAATCATTGGTGAGAGCCTCTACGCTGCCCGATGCTCAGGCCCTGACAGATCCTTCGCTGTAGGCCGCGTCGCGCGGTACGTCGACAAGTGGTGTCCATGGGCAGAGACAGAACTTGCACATCTCGTAGGGTATTTGTCCACCACGTTTAATCTGGAACTGGTCATGCTCAATGCCGGCGACAGCTGGGACAATCTATCTCTGCATGCCTGGTCTGACGCAGACTTCAATGCACCGAGGAGCACTACGGGTTTCTACCTCGAGCTGGTCGGACCGAAGGGTTCGCAGTACCCTCTGTCGTGGGGCGCTGCGCGCCAGAACATTGCGACGACGAGCACTGGCGAAAGCGAGAGCCTCACATGGGCAACAACGGCCAAGAACGCCATCCGTCTCGCAGCCCTGGTAGAGTACACACGCCCCACTCCAGTAGATATTGCAGGTCGTCTTGAGAACCAGGCAGTTGAACAAGCGATCAAAAAATTGTACAGCCAGAAGCTCGGACATCTGAGAAAACATGCGGAAGTGTCATTGCTTTTCTTGCATGAGTGCGGAATCGTACCAAACCACACGCCTGGAATCCATAACATGGCCGATGCGTTCACAAAAGCCCTTGGTCACAATAAGCTTATGCACCTTGTCGGTCGTTTGTTTGGCATCCAAATTGATCAATTCGGAAATGGATCGATCCGCGTTTGCATGGGTAAGGTCGCAACGGAGTCCTCGTCACGCCCCTCTTCTTCGTCAGGAATGAGCCGGATGCCCCCTGGCCAGCGCATGGTTGAGTTCGCGTGCAGGGCGGCGATGCTGGATAATGCCGAGGGCATCGCTAATGCGGCCAGCACTTCTATCCATATCCAGAGCGTCGTGGACTTTTGGGGAAGAGGTGCCGCAACGCCGAGGCGCACTGGAGATGGAAAAAATCAAGCCTCTTGGGGCCAGATCTTTATCCATATCCAGTGCGTCTACGGCTTCTGGGGAAGAGAGCCCAAGAATCCAAGACGCACTGGACGTGGATATAACTATTGCCCGCAGCTAAGAGCACCGCCTGCCTCGACCCGAACCGCCCTCCGCAGGCGGCGCGTCTGAACACGCGGACCGACCTCCACGGCCTTGTCGAGGGCCTGCCTGAGGCAGGCCCTCGACAAGGCTGAAGGGGAACTGGGACACACAAATAAATATACACAAATAAAAATGTTCACCATATTTTCCCATATTTTCTGGATTGTTGTCTTCCCCCCCGCTTCCCATATTTTCCCATATTTTCTGGGGAATCGAATATTAATTGTGTCTGTGTTTTTTTCCCATCCTGAAACACGCTGACCGACCTCCACAAGCAGGCCCTCGACAAGGCGTCCGCTCTGAAGGCGCACAAATGCAGCCGGGCAGTGACGGTCGCGGCGAGGAGCCTCGCCCGGCTGGACCAAACCGTCTGCAGGCCGACATCCGCAGTCTCATGCCTAAGTATCTGGATCGCTCGCCGGAAGGACCGGGAACGTTCCAGGGCTCGGGGCGACACCCGTCCAAAGCTCCATGAAGGCTGCTGCTGCACCAGCGGGCGGATCCGATATCCCAGTCAAGGTCTTCACGATCGTGATCGACAATTCGGACGACGAGTGCTTCCGCGTGACATGCACGAACCCTCTGGAGGGTAGTTCGTTTGTCATCGACGTCGACAGGGTGGACCGTTACGGCGCGCTGAAGACGCTCATCTCCCGCAGGATCGGCACAGACAAGCTCTCTCTGATAGACGAGACCAGTTTACCAATACATAATCTTCGAGACGATTGTTTGATTCAGGGTATCCCTGATCTGACGGCCGAGTTTCTTGGACAAGTTGCCGCGGAGCCTGCGGAACAGCTTCGCGTACGTCCTGCACGCGTCGTAGCCCGGAAACCGCCAAACAGCAACCAACGTTTCAGGAAGAAGGCCAACAGAACGTTGAACAAGAAGATCAAAAAGTTTGGTGCGACCACGAAGCCACCCCAATCCTTAAGGCCACCCCCAAGAGGAGCAGTATGGGAACCACGTCAATGGCTGCAGGGGCGCCCCCGGCCACCATCGGCAGCCATCTCCCTCTACGATGTCGTGGCTCTGAGGTTCATTACCAAGGTGGTCATAGGTGTGTGTGTGTGTGATGCGAAATCGACTGCGTTCTAGTGCAGTTGTACTCTAGCTTTCAAGCTAATGAGAAAAACGATCGTGATGCATGTTCCGTCGGATTTTTATATTCGATCTTGTAGTAACGACGTTTGGTAATTAGGACGCGTAGTCTGGACCTTCCCATCCCTCTTTTCCCCGCCCTCCCTGGTCAAGAGCACGCGTGTTGTCAAATAACTGGTTTAGTATGTACTGTACAGATCTGGAGCTGCGCCTGTGCAGCAAGGCCCGCGCAGGGCGCCAGGGCGGCGCGCGGGGACAGGCCCCATGCTGCCACCCTGCTTGGGCCTTGGCTCAAGTCCCCAGGAAAAGGCACGGCCAGGGGGGGCCCTCCAACCTCAGGAGGAGGCGGAGGAGGAGAAGGAGTAGGGGGAGGGGGATTCGAAGACTGGACTGCCGGAACACTGCTGGGCCGCCTTCGGGAGGGGTCTGGATCGACTGCTGCTGGGTAGAGGCCTTGGGTCAGGCCGGGCATGTCCTCCTACAGGCAAATAGTGGACGAAAAAATAAAAAGAATCCAAACATGCGCTAAAAGACAAAAGAACGTCCCATACGATTGTTCTACTATTTTTGTAGATTCCTCCTGTAGAGGGACAGGCTCGACTCGAGCCTTGGGGGAGGAGGAGGGGGGGAGGCGCTGTGGGAGCAGTGGGCTGCCGCTGGGCCCAGGGGCCCACCCGCTGGTAGGACAACCTTCTGGGCTGGGCTTATGTTGCTCCCATCATACTTGAGAACCACATCCCAGAAATAATTCCCCAATCAGTGCTCGCACTGAAGGGGTCCCAGCGGAAATTCAAAATTTGGAGAAAGTTTCCCGCCGATTTTGGTAGCCGGCTGGGTTCCCGGGTTCCCGGTTCTGGGTTCCCGGGTTCCTGGTTATTCGTTCCGGGCCGATTTCGGTGGGTTCAGGGTTCCCGGGTTCCCAGTCGATCTCCTTATCGATCAAACCATCCACTCATTGGGGTGTTTCTCTGGTGTACTTTCGAGCACCCAGAAAAGTATCGAAGCAGAGTCGAACAAGTATCGCCTCCCACGGCCCAACGCGTGAAAACCCTCCAATTTCGGTGCCTTCTTGGTGCTCGAAGTTCTACCTGGTGATCGGGGCTAAAGTAGGCTGGAACATCACAAGGCTGGGCCAACCTGCGCTGGAGGCCTGCCCGCCCTCGAGGACACGGGCGCAGCAGGACAAGGCCATGGGAAAAGGCCCGGGCACCATACCGAGCAACGCACTTTGCGGGTCTGTGCCGTACGGGTCCACCCCAGAGGTGTCTTGCTGACGTAAGCCGTTGCGAAGCGCACGACGGAGAGGCTATCTTGAAGCCCCCTAAGGGCTCTCTATTAGCCCCTAGACGGGGCCAGGACAGGGTGGGCCGGTCCTCGAGGAACGACGAGACGCTCTCGGAGGAGAAAAAAAAGGATCAGGAGAGGAAACACGTTTTTTCCCCATATCCTAAGATGGGGTTCTTGTTATTACTTGGACGCCTCCTACTCCTCCTCCTCCTTCCTCCTCTTTTCTCCTCCCCTCCTGTCGGGCTTCCCCAAGAATGGCGCGAGGAGTGCTGAAGTGGACGCCAGCCCCAAAAAAATACGTCGCGGCTCTGACGCACAGGCTCGGCCCCGCGCAGCTCCCTCCACGCAGGGGGACTGAGCCAAGCGCGGCACGGAGCACGCGCCCCCCCCTTCTTCTCCCTAACCAGCCCCTGGCTCATCCCTACCCCCAAGATTGACAAGCCCAAGCCGACGGTAATAGTATCAACGATGTGCCCTCGGAAACTGGGAGGAGGAGGAGGAGGAGGAGGAGGAGGAGGAGGAGGAGGACAAGAGGCGATGCCAATCTCAGGTCGGCGGCGCGCCCAGAGGGGGGAAGTGAGAAGGGGCGGGCCTTCTCAGAAGGCTCGAAAGTTCCCCGACCTCCTAAGAAATGTTCGAAGCCTCACCCAGAAGACACAGAGAACTTCTCCCACGGCTGGGCGGCTTCTGCGAATCCCGCCGCCTTCTGAGAAGGCCGCCTTCCCCCCTCGCTCGCCGCCGAGCAGACAAGAGGCCATGCCAACCTTAGGGGAACGGGTCTGTTTCCGTCAGGCCCCCCCTGGCGTTACAGGCCCCCGAGGCTTTTAGGGCCGCCCTCTCAGCTCGGGTCCCTCGCCTCCGCAGCCGCCGCCGCCGGCGTCGTCGTCGTCGTGATCGTCGCGGTCGTCGTCGACGTCGTCGTCGTGGGCGTCGTCGTCGTCGTCGTCGCCGTGGTCGTGGTCGTAGGCGTCGTCGTCGTCGTCGTGGGCGTCGTCGTCGTCGTGATCGTCATCGCGGTCGTGAACGCTGGCTGGCCGCCCCCGCCTCGGAGGGAGGCAGAGGATTCGGGTGTTGCCAGGGGTGCCCCTGGCCGAAGGTGCCCCCGAGACTTCCGAGGAGGCCCCCCACGCCCTCCAGAGCACCCGTCGCGAGGCCCAGGAGGGCCCAAGGGGCTCCGAAGCTGTGCGAAACGCTGGGGGCTCCTTGAGCTAGGGTCAGGTAACTCGAAAAGTCGTCCCCATATTTGAAGGGGCCCTGGGACACACGAATAAATACACACAAATAAAACCATTCCCCATATGCTCCTATATTTTCTGGGCTTCTGTCTCCCCCCCCCCGCTGCCCATATTTTCCTACATTTTCGGAGGAATCGACGATTAATTGTGTTTCTCCTCCTGAATATTGTCATCTGATCGAGGGACGGGCCCGACTTCAAGCTGGGGGCACCTTCAGCGCCCCCCCGAGGGGGGCTGGGCCGCGC